CATTTGCAAAGCAAATGCATAACGTTTACCTTCGCATATGGTCTACTCTGTTAATTCGTACCCAAACACATTCATCAATTTCATATACATTGTATATATGATGACAGGAGTCTAAATCCCTGCTGCTATAAAATTGCAACATGATGTAACCCAACACTAGTTACCATGGTAACAGACAGTCTGGTTCAGGTCATTGACCTTTTTGGTTTGGAGAAGAAGAAGAAGAGGAAACGTAGCAAAAACAATACGTTTTTCCTTCGGTATACATAATAAGATAAAGTTCTAGGTTATAAAGTTTGTAGCGTGCATAATCCAGTGGTTAGCGACCCTGCCTCTGGACTGGGAGGTTGGGAGTTCAAATCCCGGCTGTTGTCGCATGCACGCGACTGGGAGGGCCACCGTCGTAAGAACGGGACGTTAAGCGGTGGTCCACTGTTCATTGTACTCGTCAGTACAGTGAGTCTTTAGATACTGCGCACAGTGTCTGTGTGCTCTGTCACGATAAGTAAATAAGTAGCACTTCGGTGAGCAACATTACACAATAAAAAAACTTACACAAAAAAAATTAACTGTTCTCTAACTTAAAATGCTGCGTGACTCCGGAATTTTTGACCGACCAACCTTCCCTCAGCCGGGACGGGGGGCGGTACCGACTTCCGACGAACTTTATACAAAATTTGCTATGGTAAAGACCACACTTGACAACGGTGTTTCGCAGGTAAAATTCAGCCCCATATTTTATTTACAGAACTTAGTTTTTGACCACTTCAAAGCCCATGCTATCTTAGAGTGTCTATCAGAATGATAAAATACTGACAAAAATTAAATTCCATACCGCGCATTTTCGATACCATCGCTACCAGGCTACGTTAGAGCCTATAGGACCGTGACAGCACCCTCAGTAACATACCAGCACAAAAAGTATCTGACTCTCGTTTTCTTTTGAAATCAACTACAAGCCTAATTCTTATATATAAGAGCTGACCGGGGACTGAAATGAAAACAAAAACACACTGCCTGGTCTGGACAAGTGCGTATCATTGAGTTTTAACGAAAACTATTCCCTAACAGAATTTCAAGTACTGCAGTCAACAAGTATGTCGTATCCACCGACGCTCTGGCTCCATTGCTATTGCAAGAATTTCTGAACACATTAGTCAAAAGTGTTACATTTTCGCCCATTCATCTTCGGTCGTCCGCTCTAAAGGTAACATTTCGCCATGCAGAAAACATAATATTGTTACAAGTACAAAGACGAGAAACGTCACAATTGAGAAGTGCGTGCGCTCTCAAGTCGCGGTGTTGGTTTTAGGTGAAGAAGAGAGCAGCACACGACCGTTTCTTTGTGTAGTTTATTTTGTACGTACACAAATCCTGATAAAACGTCTGCTCGGCATTGCGGGGGTGTTTTTGTAGGGGGGAAACTCGGACATTCAGTAGGCGGATAGGTCTTTGTCTGTTGTAGCGTTACTTAGTCTGGCTAACACTGGTCAGGCCCCTAGCCTTGCTACATCACGCCTCTGGCAGCCCTTCTATTGGTCAGACTCATCCTAGAAATTCTATATTTCCGCTTCTTTGCTAAACAACTCTAGCTTCGTGAATGTATGGTTTAAATGATTTTCTAGCACACATAGTTCTATCTTTCTTGGTGTTCGTTACATTTCATTTGGTTTAGAATGTGTTTTTTTTTTTTCATCACTCCATAGGACGCCATGTTTGTTGTGTTCTGTGATGACGTTGCAGTTACCATGGCAACTTGGCCTCTTGCTGGTCTACCTCTTGTCTAGTCTCTACCAGATCGTGTTGCGGACTGAAATAATGGTAGAAAATGCCCCAAATACGGGGAATATTCTATTAGAGGGCTTGGTTGGTCAATGGTCTACGGATTTGACCGCCGAAAGACATTGGTGTCAGGGCCAGAGAAACGCATTTACTACATGTATTTTGAAGCTGTACAATGACCATAAATTCTACCGTAGTGTTCTTAGACTTAGACTTAGGGGCTCCCGCTTCTCGTGATGCATGAGGCAGTCAAAGTAGCCCAGCTTCCTCTGTCAGCAGCCAGCCTCAAGGCTTCCTTCCAGCTCATGCTGACTGCCTGAAGGTCTCTCTCCACTGTCTGTCGCCAGTTCATCTTTGGGCGCCCCCTCCTTCTCCGTCCTTCTGGGCACCACTGTAGAACCTGGTTGGCGAGTCTGACTGGTGGTAGTCTGACAGCGTGTCCTAACCAGCCGAGCCGGCGTTTGCAGATGATGGAGGACACTAGTTGTTGCTTAGTTTGAAGTCTGGTGTTATTATTCGAGATAAAGTCATCCCATCTGATGCCCAGGATTTTCCTTAGACACTTGCTGTCAAAGGCATCAAGTCTCCTTTCTTGACTTAATTTCAGGTGCCAGGTCCGTAGTGTTCACAGGTGTTTTATTTCAAAACTCGCCGTGTCAGAGATCACAGTATCTCCTTGTTTCAGCACTGATACTTTTCTGACATGTTTACAAATGGACACGTAGTCTTGTTGGTCTACAAATCCGCGCCATTGTCACAAACACTGCTTCATTCAGGCTCACACAAAACATGATAAATCTCAGCTACTGTTTATAAGACACACTGGAAGAAACTGTTTGATGGTTTACAAATGAATCAAATACCTAAACATTTACTTCACTGTAATGGTTTAGAATATCAAAAGTGTATCGGAATCTTTATTTTAGTCGTATGAAGTCACCGAGCAATTTTGACGGCTTTGCAGGCAAATTCCCATCTTTTGGCATCTTTCCCTCAAATTGTCATCTTTATTCACAGAACTTCAATCTGAACTTCACAATTTATCTTTTGAAATATGTTCCTTCGTCTTGAGCAATCTAAGAAATAAACGTATGATGGTATACGTGTTACAAATGTTGGATATCTCTGTACAATAGCTATATCTTTTTCACAGAAAGAGAATATTGTTTCACTGGGTTTGACAGATTTTAGGTTGTTTGCCTAAAAATAATGAAGCTTGCTTCAAAGAAGTAAAAAATACACATGTCATGTTTATACAGTCTTTTGGTACAAATCCCGTTAAGACAGATGCATATATATTAGCTAGAAGAGACAAAAGAGGGGGCAGAATTGAGGATTACCGGAGCGTGGTGTACAAACCACCAGGGGCACGTCCTCTGTACTAGAACGTCTGAGGGGAACACGCGCCGCCATGTTTGTTCTGACCTCTGGCGTGACCTTGTCGAACATGTTTGATTGGTCGATCAAAATAACGCCAGTAACAACAAACTGTACCTTGAAGTTATTAACTCTTTTTTACACATCTAACTTATGCTTGTCGATCACATTATTCCCATAAAAGTCCTTTGAAATTTATGAGATGACCAATATTGTAACTACACGTATCTTCAGTTCAGTACAAGTGTTTTCCACACGATACTTAACAGTTACTATTCATATGAAAGACGTCATTGTGCGACTTCAGATTTGTGATTGTAACATTGTAAAAAAATGATAGGGATGTGATGTTATAGCAATTCATATAAACATAAAAATGAAAATGAAACCTGGACTTTAAACTTGGTGGTCGGTCAAGTACGTTATAGTCAGTAATACTAGACGTAATAAACGGACAAGTGTTATTATGAGTAGGCGTAGTTAGGGCAGACACCCTCTGTTATGTAAGCGCAATGTACATACATATATATTACCACGGCACATCAAGGACAGACGGCAATCTTGTGTGTGCTTTTAAAATACCTTATTCAATAAGATGTTTTCAAAGGTTAATGAGGTGATGTTTTCTTCTTGTTTGCTGGTTTTCAGGTTTGACTACAGGACAACTCAGGAAGCTATAAATTGACTTTATGATAACCTAGCTTCTGTTAGGGACGTCCCTCGGATAGGACGTTAAATGGAGGTCCCGTGTTTGGGAGAGCCACACCCCGCGCACGTTAAAGAACCCACCACACTTATTGAAAAGAGTAGGGGACCTTCCCGGTGTGAGTGGTTCAAACCTTACAGTCTGGTCTCAGGTTTGACATCTTGAAGAGGTGATAGTCACCTGTTATGTCAATCCTTCCACAATGTGGTAAATCTTCATAAATAAATAATGCATGTTTGGTGTGGGTCTAAGTTTTGACCTAATAGCCAACATGACCCAAATGTGAACTTGTTGGTCAGTCTTGTATGACCTGAAGGGACCCCGTCTTTGGCAAGTCCCTGCATGCCCGTGTGTCATTGTTACCTCCGTGAATGGAGGTTTTGTTTTCGGTGTGTTTGTTTGCCTGTGTGTCCGTAGTTGTTGGACTACAGTATGATGTAGCCACAGACTGACAGGAAGGTCAAAATGGTGTCCCCACTGGGTAACTATAAGAGGACATTTGTTTATTAGACGTATGTCCATGACAAGCTCAAATCGACCTACAGGTCACTTTTCATTGAGGTCAAGGGTCAGACAAAATATCAAAAAGAGAAAATTTACGTCATTCAAAGTCCTATTTGAATATGAGCCATGCGGGAATGTCACAGAAACCTTTTAATTGCAATTCACTATGCAGACATAGACAGTATATAGAAAAGCGAATGAAAGCGGCCGAATACGCAGGACCTCTGAGTCTTGGTTCCGAGTCGAACACTCTGACTATTACGCCACGCAACACCACGAATGCTCTGAAGTTCTAGATTCTTTATTGGCTCAACAAAAGTACAGGGACTTTTGTATGGTCTTCTACAACTAAAAATCTATCAAAGCTAAATACATGACATGAATAGAGTTATCCTACGTACAAAATATATGTATGCGGCAAACTACGTACAGAATATATGTCAGCGACAACAATAAAGGCTTAACTATTTTCTAACATGTAGTCCCTAAGATGACACCCCATACACCCCCACAGAAACAACAGTCTAAGATTCTATAATGTATTTGCCTATTTGAACACTGTATTGGTTTCCTCCCCTGAGAATGTGAAAGTGTGGGTAAAGAATGAATTTTGCACAATGACACACCTTGCTCACTCGGTGTCTTCCCCGCTGCTTGAGCTTCCAAAGGCAGACATCTTCACTGAACTTGCTGAAGCTTCGAAGAGCACATCAAGACGCCGTGAGCTCGGTGCGTTTCTGGGATCCAATCTTCGACTGACCGCCCATTGCTGGTCAGTTCGACTGTCCGTACTCGGACCGGCAACCGCTTCCATTGTCCCCGCATCTCCAACACGGCTTGATCTCAGTGCGTTTTTTGGATCCACTCTTCGACTGACCGCCCATTTCAAAGGCGGCTGGTCCGTCCGATTGTCCGTACTCGGTCCAGCAACAGCGTCCATTGTCCCCGCATCTCCAACGCGGCTTGAGCTTGATCTCAGTGCATTTTGGGGATCCGTACTTCGACTAACCGCCCATTTCGGCGGCTGGTCAGAAGTTCGGCTGTCCGTACTTGATCCAGCGTCCATTGCTTGCGGATTGCCAACAATCTGGATGTTCACCACTTGGTTCGACGACCACCCCAACTTCTCCCGAACCGCGTTGGCGAGTCGTCGCGCCCTGCGATGCACGGCTTCCCGAATCTTCTTGATCCTGAGCGCGTAGATGACCGGGTTGATCGCCGAATTGCAGAGCGCGACCAGCAAACCCCAGTACGGCTTTGCCTCTGCCTCACAGTCTTCTCTTGCGAAGCACACCAACTTCTCCACACTCCCGATGCAAATCGGCAGCCAGAAGATGACGAACACCGCTGCAATGATGACAACGGTCACCTGCATCTTCCACACGGCTTGTAGCTGCTGGTACTGTCTGGCTGCGACTCGCTGTTCTCTGCGGCGGGCGGCGGGCAGGTTGTCCTGCGGGTTCTCGAGGGGTTTGGTCCTGGAGAAGCGCTGCTTCAGTTTGATGAAGATTCTGACGTTGACGAAGACCACTATCACTACGGCCATGAACAAGATGCTGTTGAACAGAATCAGGTAACTTACGGGCAGGGCCGTGAAGCAAGTCTCGCTCTTCATGTCGATGCAGTTCCAGCCCATAAGAGGAGACAAGCAGACAAGCACACAAGATGGCCACGCGATCCCCAGACTCACGGCAACGTGTCGCCCAGACATGCGGGTCTGGTAGAATATCGGGTGGAGGATGGCCAGATAGCGGTCCCCGGACAGGAGGACCACACCAACTGCCGATGAGACCAACAGTAAGAAGAAGATGCAGTACAAGCCCATCGTTGTCCATGGTTGAGAGAGTTCTAACTGGAGCCTTGCACAGAGGACGAACGAGAACAAACCCGTTAGGCAGTCGGCCATAGCCAGGTTTGCCACGAACATGTACATGGGTTTAGACAGGTGATGGTTTTTCAGCACTCCGGACAGGACCACGACGTTCATGAGGAGAGCGACTGTCCCGACAGCGGCGGAGGCGATCCCGACTTTCTTGTTCTCGTCCGTGTACGCTTTAGGGAGATGAACGCACGCAGCTACAGCCAGGTCGTACTCCATCTTGTTTTCCATGTGCCAGGAAAAACACGACCAGAAAGTCTCGAACACCGTGGAGTTTCCTCCGGTAAGGTTCGCTGTGCTGCCGTTCATTTTGCGATGCTCACTTAAGCCAAGTATATCGACTATGACAACAAACGCTGATTTTCGGGTTTTCCACCTTTTCCCGTAGATATCTAGATCTGTCGGCCGTACCTAACAACTAGTCAAGCACTGCAAATTATATCATAATTGGCCGTAACGTCAGCGTTACCATAGTTTCAACACTTCTACCGCTAGCGCCGCAATGGCAACCTTATTTGGCGATATTATTTTAACCCATATTATTTTTTTAAATGTCAATGCAAATGAGAACATTATGGATACCTGTGAGGAGTATGCGTTGAATGCGCCATCAAAAGGAATGATCAAAAAGTCACCGACAAAACGCCCGAGGCCGTTCTTCTCTTTTCAAGTTACAACTTACGTATACTGTGCCCTTTTCATGTCTATTGAAACGCATCTGAAAACAGCAGGACACATAGGTTCTATCACTCAGTTGAAACGACCGATAGAAGCGCGATTTAATAAGGCTAAAGGATGCAAGGAATAAATCATAAGTAATAAAAGGAAAAGATGACAAAGGAGCTACCTTGTCTTCCAACATATGAAGCAGTCGAAGGTCTAGTCTCTTAACATCCTTCCAGGTTAGATTTACTGTTTGTAGGTTGTCTATATTTGTAGTTCGACCTGGATTTTCCCCTGTGGGCCCAGTTTAAGACTTGTTTTTTTTTTTAGTCTTCCTGGTGGGAGTCCTGTAACGTGGCCTCATAACCATCTGCATAGCCAGTATAACCGTCCTTTGGCGCAACGCACCAGCTTCGCAGGTACGCGGCGCGGCAGCTAATTGTCATACTTAATAATAATACTTCACTGAACGACTTTTTATCTTTGCACATCTAAATGTAAGCGTTGTTCAAAGCCATTTAGTTAGGATACCCCTACAGTACAAGGGAGAGTCGTACTAAGCCCTCACCCTATCGTTTCATGTTTCTCTCAACAACTTGTCGCAATCCAAGTCGACCTGTGCTATGGGAAAACGACCGCAAACAAAGGTAAACAGTGGGCTGGCACCTGTTTCCCCATACATCCTCACCGCACCGCAGCAGATCGCAACTGATAACGCCTGGATCAAACCGTGGAGTCAGGTTTACAGATTAGAGCCACAGATAACCGCACAGAAACGTGTTGCACGTTTCTTTTTCTCTCACGCGTGCACCTGTAGCGTTTGCCTGACATCATTGGAAAGGATTTTCCATACTATCGTTTGAAAATGACGTCATATGTTTTACGTGCCCCGACTGGAGTTTTTAAGTACCACTCAATCGTTGTAGCATTTTTCGATGATGACGTGTGCAAACAAACGCCACGCATTATTCCACCGTGTTTGCAAACGTGGCGTCTCTATATCTTATCTATGACCAAAGCTTCCACACGAAATGCCTCTTAAACTGTTTGAATGAAAGAATGATGAATGAAAACTACAAATACGACCTCTGCTCTCACATTCTTCTATTATCGTTTCCGTGAACATTTGGGGCTCTAATCTTTTCATAAATGATTTTAAAGCACCTCATGTTGAACGGAGTACCACTAACTAGTTTGTTGAAATATGCTTACGTGTAAATTATGTCAAACACCCCGGACTTTAGCCCTCCTCGAACGATACGGTTTCACATGACCTTGCGGTTGACTATCAGGGTCAAGAATAGCATTTCAAACACAAGGTCAAAGTCCTAGGAGGAAGGGTCAAAAAGGGGGATATTTGGTTGCCGGTTGAGTGGTCTTTAAGGGGTACTAATTTTCTACTTATGATCCACTTTTCCCCTTTAAGAGTTGGGCCCCAACCCAGGAAATCTACTTTGCAAGTAATAACATTACTAAAAGATTTTGAATTTTTTAACCTAATTATTACGCCAATATCAGTTTATATAATTGCAATTCTATGGGCCTGTATTGTACTAAATGTTTTACAACTTGTATACATGTAGTGGCATACATTATAAATATTGCATTGGCAAGTATTTTGGTTGTACTACTATTGTAGTAGAAATTAGTGCTGTACAATTTAGTGGCTTGCATTGTAAATATTACATTGGTTAGGAGTTTGGTTGACAAGTATCACGGAACAAGTCGTCGTTAACCGTACTTAGAGTGGTAAAAATAGTTTGACAACTTTGTCTTGTTATTTCGCCCCCCTCCCCCCATCACGAAATGCTCATTCACAGTTGGGTGTGAATCTGAAGGGGTTCCCGGCAAAATTTAATCCACGATGTTGAAATTTTTCACGTCATCGGAACATTTTGGCCACGACCATATACGACCACCCCCGTCGCTCGCCCGACGCCCTCGAGTTGTCTTTTTCGAACTCAAGGGTGACCTGTGTGACCTTCGCAGTTTGGCGCCAGAAGTCAACACGTCATCGGTTTGTGGGTCAAATTTGGGGGTCACACGCCGCGCTCGTGGGCGGCCGGCCGCCATGTTTGTTTGCGTCCAATATCGGGAGGAGGCTGGCGCTATCATGCCGTGTGTCAACAGCCCGGCTGAGAGTGTTTGTCGTACTTATTATCGTCAGACTGACAGAAGAGCACGGGGAGATGGGCGACAACAGACGGGATGGCAAATTCGAGCAGACAAATCAACATCGACAACTGGACAACTTCGCTGGTGTTACGAGTATACGAGTAGGGCACGTGTCTCAAATGGACCGAATCAGTATAGCACAGGAGACCCCCTATTGCCCATTTTCCGTGTGGACGTCATCTATCTAATACTGTCTAATACATGTATAACACTGGTGGCAGCGGTGTGTCTGTATCTGTGTAGCCGGTATAACCGCCCCTCGGTGTGTAGAAGCTCCTTGGTGTAACACACCAGCTTCGCAGGCACGTGGCGCGGCGGCAGCTGGCTATATTACACCGATCGACTTGTTTATAATACCACTGATAATACACCTAGCCTTTGAACATCTGAACCTAAACATTGCTTAATAGAGCTATTTAGCGAGGAGAGCGTCACTAATATAGTTATTTATTGCAAGTTCGTGCCCAAGGGCTAATTGCAACAAAGGAAAATGAGTACAGAATTATATTGAGGATATTATAAACCCATGTGTTAACACGAAGTTCTACTTCTACTATTAGTGATTACACAAATATAACACTGCTGCTATGTTTTTTAGCTGTTAAAAACGATCATAAAAGTTTCCAAACAGGGTGAAGTACTTTTCTCGTTAGTCGACTAACTTCTTTAGCGGATTAGTCGCTTTAATTTACTTGGCAAACTTTGCTAGCTCAGTTCGAAGGAGTCAGGTTGGATAATACACATGACAGCAGCACCAATGTAAGTGTGAAGGGTATCAGCTTATTGAATTTTGTGTCTGACACTTACAACAATGGTCTCTCACCGATTCGTTAGAACATAAACAGGCTTAGCCGCTATTTATGTTTGCAGTGCACTTGACTGAAGGAAGGGCCAATAATAAAGCTATTGCAAATGTGCTGTTTTGTGTAGTACTTAGGTTGAAGTAAAAAGCAAACGACGGCGTCGTCTAAAAGCAGTCTTCATGCAAACTTCTCAAGAATATAGAGGCATCCAACGCAGTTTCAGGGAGGCAAAACAAAAATATTCTGGATGCTGAAATCTGTCTGATATTGACATCTAATTTACTGGCGTTTCTTAGCACATTTTTGGAATCATTTCGTACTTGAAGCGTTTGAATAAAAGCTACGTGAGGCGTCTCTTGATTTTTTGGGTACCGCCCATAAATATCTGGCCAGCCTATGCTATGATAAAAAAAGCAACCGTTTTCTGTCAGCGACATCGCATTTTTGCCAAACATTGATAGAAGGCTTTATAGTTATGAGATTTTATTTATGCCCCCAAATTTGGAGCTATTGCGCGTGATTTCGTGCACTTTTTGAACGCACCTTGTATATAGTTTGTTGTTTGAACCATTCTTTATTCATAAGAAGCTAAAATCAGCCTACAGGGCGCTTTTCATTGAGATCATGAGAGAAGAGGTAAGGGTCGGACAAAATGTGTAACAAAGATACAGTTTACATCAGTCTTAATAAATCATACATACATTTTACACACACGTGGTAAAAAATACATAATATATCAGAATAAGAACTGGTATATGGTTAGGGTCCGTTCGTTTTGGTCATTTCTGATGTCTGTTACCAGTTAGATCTATATCGAGACATTTCCGCTGTCTCAGCAAATAACTACGTGGACGATCTGACAGTCCTTTAGGGCAGTATTTACTTGTGTGCTCAGAGAAATGGGCCTTTGTTAATCCTGCAAACAAACCCATTTAAATGGCTCAGGTTTTGTCAGCTGTGAACACTATACAACTACCGCAAAATCTTCTTCCTGTTTTGTTTTTTTAAAGAAATTTTTTAAAATGACAAAAATTCTTCTTGAATCTCGACAACCGTTGATATTTCGAAAGATATATTTTTTTAAAAACAATTTTCAGGAATTTGAATAATTTTACCCCAAGAACCATCTGAAGTTTTGGACGAAAGTTTTCTATTTGTCTGAGGGTACGTCAAAATTTGAAGGAATTCCGGGTCAGTGGCTATTTGAAGCGTTTCAAATAGCCACAAAACAAGCTACGCGAGGGGTCCCTTTATCCTTTATTTTATATAGCTAGAACTGTCCTTTATTTTAGATAGATAGAACGAGCCTATGATAAAAAAAAGTAATCGTTTTCTGCCAGCGACATCGCATTTTAGTCTCATAGATATCAGTATGCTACACCAGGAAAATTGAAAATCCAGCTTTGTCACTGCCTGAAATTGCATTGGATGTCTTTAAGCAAGAAGCTCCTTGCTTTAAGAGAGTACATGTTTGCAATGGTGGTGCGTGCGACATCTGGGGACAAGTATGCCCCGTAGTTTGTTGAAACCCTGTCAGGGGTGACAGTGACGTACATCCGAGGCCGTTTTTAGCTCGTCCCGTGGCCGTGATCGCCGGACCGTGTCGGGCCCCGCGCCACGCTACGCCGCCTCACTCCCCGTCTCATCCCCGCTAAAAACCCGCCAAAGCCGCTTACCTCTCCGCGGTTTGTTTGGCGGGGAACCATCGGGGCAAACACCGCCGGCTCCGCGGACAATACCCCCTCCTTACCGCCCGATTCAGCGGATGTAGACCGAAAATAATCCCATAGTGTCCGATAAAAGAAAAGGAAGAGACGAGAGGATGGGCGACCTGACATGCTTTCTTCGCGGCCACATGATATTGTATCGGCGGATCTCCGAAATCGGGGATCGGAAAAAGATACCGAGCTCCGGGAATTGTTTCGCTAAGTCGTCCTAGAAAACAGGAGGTGGGGTCGGCACGGAAGGTATAGCCGGTGGCTTTGTGTTATAAAAACAAGACCGTCCCTATAATCTGGTTTGGTCAGGCGGTGGGCAACCTGCATGAAAGACCCTCGCGACAGGTATTGCGTTGGGCGTAGTTTTAGATAGCACGCAACGCAGCGTACACCATGTATATACCAGTGGGGTTCAATCAAAACTCTACTGCATCAGACCTTTGCATAAAACTTTAGGCCATGTTGATTACACAATTGAAACAATTGATTGAGACAATAGCACAAAGTTACGAGATAACACGATGTTGTGGACAAATTCTACGAAAAAAGTGAAATCTGTATTTCATGACCCACAAGGTACGATGTTATAAAGTCTAATCATCAAAGGCGCAATAAACGAAGGATTGCTAGCCTCCTTATGTTTTGTAGTCTTTAATATCATACTTAACTCCCAGAAACTACCTATTTTTGGCGTGTTTTGAGGCGTATTTATCGGGCTTTCTTTTCTGTATTAGTCAGTAACTTTATCTTTTTTTTTACGCCAGCCTAAATCTCAATTAGTGACTGCCTGGCAATTTTGATCCAGTCTTGCAGCCACCAAAAGATCTGCTTGGTTTTAAATGGGGATTAAGAAACAGCCCGGCCGGGCCCCGGGTTGGGAATTGTGACCTTAACAAGTTGGCATAACAACTTTACTTATCCTCGCTCCATAAAAAGAGAGGGCTGAAATGTCTTGGGTGTCCCAATGTCACATGGACGTGCCCGTAAAAGAACTTGACCCCCCCCCCCTTCAGTGACCCCGCACGACCTACAAAGTCGTTTGCTCGATCGATCTTTCAAAGCATGTAATCAGGGAAACTATCAGTGTCAAGCTGCTTGGGGGTGGGGTCGAAGGATCAGTTTGAGAGCAACTGGGTTGATAAAAATTTGATTGACATATCGGCCTCCGATTCTGGCAGATTCTCCTTTTCTTACAAGCTAAATTCAGATAGTTTCAAGTTCTTGTATATTTTAATGCTAAGATGCATTATTCGCATACTTTTTTTCGCATCATCTTGTCTTTTGTTCATCAAAAGTAAATAATGTTATAGACAATTAACTATCAGCATCTAAGAATCATAATACTTATTTTGTGTGTATCAATACATGTTGAAGTCCTTACGAAAGTCACTGTACTTTTAATGACTGTTGTTTCTTAGGGGATTAATTAAATTATCATAATCCTGGGCGATTTAAGAAACTCATAAACATAAAATGATAAATATCGCAATTTGACCATGTTGCAGTAACGAGGACAATTATGACTGAGGCCACATTAGGTTCTGAAGTACCGTTTTGTATGTACCGCGATTTGATCTCCTTTTGGGCAGTCGACATGGTGGGCTTGGATATCTTAGCCTCAAAGCAGGCTTCGCTGACGGCCTTTTCTAGCTGCCGTTTCTAGGCTAAATTTTTCGATCTCTAGTTTTAGTGGCTTTGTTTAATTTGTAAACAAAATCAGCCTCAAAGGTTGCAAGCAGAAAACATACCGCAATGTACAAAAACGGAGATAGCAAAATGTTGACCGTCGAAAAGCCTGTTGACCGAGACTACAGATACCGTTGGATCGGACCGGCGACAGACTGCCCCTCCCGCTGTTTGACCTCTGACCTTTGGTGGATTTTTGGCGCGAACCACGCCGACAGCTGCAGACAGTAAAAGGACGTAACGCTACATACCGTGGAACAGTAACCCGTGCTAAATACGGTCGTCTGTTACGGTGCTTATAGAAAGACATTTATTGCTGTTAAGTGACGGGACACAGTTGCGTGTTAGTTGGCTGGAATACAGGGCAATACATCGTCGTCATCATTATATACATTATAAATATATATAGTCTGCTTGGCAATACATAAAAATATTAAGTCATAAATCTATCGTCCTACGCCTATAAAATGACGCTACATGGGAACATGCTTGTATGTCACACATTTTTATCTTCAATTTCCTATTTTATGAGCAGAAAGTTGCTAAGTATACAGTGATAGTTTTTGCTAGATTATTTTTTATCTAATATGAAAGTAAGACTACTAAGCTTAAGGGCACGAGGAAGATATTCCAGCAACAAAAATATATACGTTTTGAAAGCACAAATAAAACACTGTACAGGTTGACAGTTGAGACACCCACTTTTGTGAGAAAATTAGAGTAAGATTTGTATCAAGTTCACATCTGACGAAAATAGACAAAGAATCAGTTTCTTACATATCTAAAATTCAATAAAGTTCACGAAAATTGTGTGAAGACTGACAAAAATTGTCCTTGAAATAAGATACTGTGTTGATCCTTGTGTAATGGAATTTTTGTTGTCGTGTGACATTTTGACCTTGAGGATATTACCCCCCTCCCCCATTCATCTGACCGACTGAACAAACAATCATCTGTCATAACATTTGCAGGTCAAGGTCATTGGTTTAAGTGCCGAATCCACCCGCTTGTTTATCAACCACAAGATGGCCGCCGTCTGCCCGCGAATGTCCCGACATCGGGTGTAGTCGGAACCCCTCGGGAATCTCCGGTGCGATCGGCATTTGGTTACGACACGAAGCCCCGACACACGCCAATGTTATTCTGGTAAGCGAATACAACTTTGTTGGGTTGACTCAATTTGTGGCTTTACTGTACAGGCCACTCTAAGTAAGTCGTATGGATGCTATCCCCTGGAAATCTTAAATTTAGGGGGTTGCCAAAGAAATTAAATAAATATGTACTGAAATCTTATCATAATTGCTTTCATCGCATGATAATGGTGATATTGATAAGTGCAAATATGAATGAATGATAAAATAGATATTACTAAAAGTAATGAAGTAAGCAGATATTTTGGTAGTTGCATGCAACATACAGTATCAAATTGGCAAGACAATATCAACTTGGTTAGGCATCGTCCAATACACTACCCAAGGGGGCAAATAATAACTCGAGTGGTCGATTTGACCCCCCCTACCCCCTTGGAAATTAACATTGATCGGTTCAACTGTCGTCAGCTGGCGGATTAGCAACAAGTCAAGTGTTGAAGACCTTTGCGATAACAGCAAACCGCTTGGCGATAATTTGGCGGGAACGTCGTGTGAGTCAAGCCTGTCATGACGTCAGAATCAGACGATAGTTTGGGCACTATCAGAAACCTAATACTTCTAGCTGCTGGAAGCGCATTAAGATGCAGGAGAGCTTTGGAGATTTGGATTACGGAGACGATGCGAGACTTTTAGGGGAAGGTTTTCAGAGAATTTGCTGTGCAAAACCGTCCGGACAGCGGTGTTTTTGTAACGCGATCCTATAGAAACGCCTCACAGCGACATGAGAAATATGATGCATCTTTCAATGTAATTCTTGGAAGGGGAAGTTTTAAGATATTTCTGTCAACACGTTCAGACAGATACGACCGGAATAACCAATAGGACTGTTTCTGGTAACTATATAGCCCCCATCAGGCTTTCATAGCCGGTATAACCGCCCTTCGGCGTAACACACCAGCTTAGCAGGCACGCGGCGCAGCGGCAGCTGGCTACATTGCACCGACGACTTGTTATACCTAAACTCTGGCCAATTATTTTCCCTGTTCGGCTTAATTTTACTGAATCCGCAACGTTAGTCTGCTGGAGATTAGTATTTATATAGAATTATATAAAATTTACTAATCTGAAATAGTAGTAAGGCCATGTTGATTTGATTATATGGATGACATCCTCTGGGAACTCCAAAACTGATGCGAGCGTGCGAATAAAAAAAAAAGTTGCTTTCATTATGAAATCTACGTGGTCATGAAGATTGAACAAATGACACAGGGTATGGTATGGCGAATAATCTACTCTTCAAATTCATTTCTTTACATTTTCGTCTTTTTCGTTTGGTTTTGACATTCTACAACATTGTTATTGTTTTCCAATACTTTTTGTGCAACTTACGGTATATATTTGCTCATTTTGCAACTGTTTTGTACGATTTACAGCATGGTTGAAAACGTTTTTTTTTTTTGGAAACGGCCGAAAATTGATGCGCGCGCGGATGTCATCCATATAATCAAATCAACATGGCCTAAATAAGAAATGACTGAATAAAGAAAACAGAAAATGCCAGCGTATCACTGTCAATACTGGAGCAATAAGCAGATGTTGGGAGGCAAAATTGTTTCGTTTTTCTAGCTGCCCATTTATGTTACAGACTATACCGATTTTACCTCCCAACATCTGCTTGGCAGAGCGGTTACCATGGCTACACCATAGCGGTTTGGGTGAAGGCGAGGACCGGAAACGGCTTCCCAGGTTACCCGTCATGCTTGGCCCACAACTTCCGGTATGTGGGAAAGTTGGTCGGTGTGTGGTTTTCTGACATGTGATAGCAAGATGCCTCCAAGCTTCACGTATAGGTATGTAGTACTAGCTGACAACATATGTGTTATGTGGATGTAGAATGATGTAGTTGTGTCGTGAATATCTTTTCTGACATGTTATATAATATGCAAGTTTTTGCTATGTTATTGATGCCTCTATCAAGCAAATCTAACGCAATATTAGTTTATTTATTAATACCTGTTGATATTGAGCCTGCATGATGCCAAATTGTAAAGCTTTTGACTCCCTTTCATTTGAAATGAAAATGGTGGATGTCTGAAACATTTTCAATATTTCAAACAATATATTCAGATTGCGAACACCGTTGCATATACATGGTAGACTCCACTGTTTCCCACATACATATGCAAATAGGCGATTAGTCAGTAGCAGCGACATCTACCGAATTCTATCTGTACTGCAGCACATGGAACAGATGCTGACATGTGACATCTCGATTGACTTTGACCATTTGGGGACAGCTATGACTAATTTGGCAGCGACCTCAACTGTGACGACAAAATGAGTCAAGTTCATTGCTAAGGAACAGGCAGCCAAATTTGGTTGTTTATGAATCAGGCTTCTAGGAATTCAGGTAGTCAAAAGATGAAGCAATTTTGAGTGCTATTCCCAAATGTCATTGACATTTATAATATTTAGGTCAGGTTGTTTTTTCAGTTCTAGTAGTATATATTTCTTATTAGGCCAAATATCAGTACAAAGACTGCTGTTGAAAATATGCATGTATCTGTCACACAAGATATAAAACAATTGGGCAATGTCTTCTTTATCCATGTTCCAAGATTCGTGACAGATATGACGTCTAGATTTCTTAAGGACTGCTTTGTGACGTTTAGATTATGATAAAGTTGGACAAAGACCTCCCCAAAATTTTCTACTGAGAGTCTTAAGGTTCTACCAGCCAAACTGCGCACAATAATTCTTCTGCCGCCACTCAAAAGTGGTTTTAACAATAGGGATAATTACAGCGACTGCCGTCTATTGTCCCGAAGCTTTCGGTAGCGGACCAATCGGGATGAAGAACGCGCAGCTTTGGCAGGTGGTGAAAAGGGCGGCCGACAAGTTGCCCGGCTTCTCCGCGGCGCAATTATTTCAGCTTGGTTAATCGTTGGCAAGCCGGCGTATCCATGGCGTAAAACTGTTGGGCGGAAAACATACCCGCTGACATCACGCGAAAGCGAAGCGTACGCCGATTTTTTTTTTCCTTCCCAGGGGGACACGGGTTCGAATCCCGGTTGTACATCGGGGTGGGCCTCCCCTGAGAGTTTGGTGTGTCCGGTCCCCCCTGTATCCATGACATCATTAGCTTCCTGATGATCAAATTATGATATGAATAATTAATGAAGGATTTAAATCCACTTTGCTTTGGGCGAGCTCACTCTGTACAGCAGGGGTGTGCGTCTTCCGCGTATATGGAGGGACTACTTGATAATACCTTTAAGATATCAGAATCGTCGCATTCTCAGCTATATTATACAAATCTTAGAAATAATAGAGCTGATTATAAGATCTGCTTTAAGGGGGTATATGTGTGGATGTGTTCATGAAGATATAGGTTGGGGGGACATCCCTCTCGTTTGGGGCAGTGCAAGTGGTAGGGCCCACCGGTCATTCCAGGGAAGGGAAAAAAACGAACGCCCCACTTCCCACCGCCGCTATCTACCTGCACAGTCGCCTCTTCCTTCCACCCTTTCCGGGACCAGACCTCGCGTTTCCCTCCCAGGTCCACTTTCGGCGTCCCGCCAGACGACATCCCCCGTCCCCGACCCAACCACACACCGTAGAAAACCATGGACGTGAAGCAAGAAAAGCGAAGCTCCGGTGGACAAGCTTTTGAGGTAAGAAACCCGCATTTTCAATTCCTAACCCGCCATAAAACACGCCTTTAGGCTATAACCGTGATACAGTAGCATAATTTGGTGCAAATCGTCGCTTATATGTTTCTAGAACGTCAAACTATGGATACGTTCTGAGAAAATTATAGAATAAGATGAATTGCTATTCTTTAGCGATAAGGTATGGGAAGACGGGTTTTTAATTGCAACCTCGAACCTTAAGGTGCAAGGGGGAAAACGGTTGGTAATTTGAAAGCCCAGTGAGTGGAAATTTCCCGCCCCGCTTTGCAACACATCGTTATGTATCATCATGTTTTTGCCATGATACATATTCAATTAAACATATGGGATGTCGCGGAAGTGATTTCGGAAAGATACCATCAAGCAATCATAATTTCCAAGTTGTTTTTTTTTAACCAAAAACGGCGCTGTGGATTGATATGAAACAAAAGGGTGATGTTATATTGTGGGAGAAGCGAACGACGGTTGTTGTAGAGAGAGATTTGATTTCAAAATGAAGATGTCAAAAGGAATTGAGACGGATGTGCTGAATTAGGCGTGGATTTGCGCGTGTTTGGAGCAGGCTGCACATTTGTATTCAGACCGTGTTTCCGCCGTCCGCGGCAGGCAGACCAAATCACGTCACACCGACATCCATATCGTCTGTCAGCCCTGTCGATCAAATCCTGACACGTTTGTTGGTCATCAAATGAGAAAAAAAAATTTCCATTTTTTTTCTTTCACAACATAAGGCGTATGTATTTCTCCACCTAGTATGTGTGCTAGTTTTTTTTTACACACGTGAAATTTATTACGGCGACGTAATGGTCCATAGCCACCCCAAGTCTTGTCAATTAAATACACACAACACATTTGTTGGTCATCATGAGAGAAATATATTTTTGTAATCTTTTTTTTCACAACCTAAGAGGTATTTTTCCATCTAGTCTGTGCTGTGCTTTTTTCACACACGTGAAATTTATTACGTAATGGCCCATAGCCACCCCAAGTCTTGTCAATCAAATACTGACACACAACACATTTGTTGGTCATCATGACAGAAAAATATATTTTTTAAATATTTTTTTTCACAACCTAAGACGTATTTCTCCATCTAGTCTATGCTGTGCTTTTTTCACGCACGTGACTTTATTACGGCGACGTAATGGTCCATAGCCACCCCGAAAAAATAGACCTAATTTTCTTGCTTTTATTTCTTTGCGTGCTGCTGCGGTTTGACATTGTAGATGGGAAAATAAAACGTGCGTTCTGCCTGGTAAACAAGCGTTATTTCATTTCCCGTCAGTCGTCCTTTCTGTGAAGGTCTTGTTATTAATAAATCATAACCATGCATGCGGCGCGTCTGCCTACATAGTGTCAACCTATAGAACGATGGGCCCCTAACGGCAGTCGTAAAATCGAGATATATTCACGCAAAATGCCCATCCGTACATTTTATTGTCGTAAAATCTGACCCCATGCCCTTTACTTCTAGGAAATGGTGGGCCTAACACAACCATAGCTGTTAGGATGGAATAAAAAAACATGTTTGAAAGATATATAGCAAATTCTTTCCCCAAAATAATGCTTAAAATTATTTGTTTCATTGCAGTAGAGACTTAAAAATTAAACATAAAGCTTAAAATCACTTACAACTTTGATAACTCTTTGTATTAAATTCACCAAATAATTTACACACTATTTGTACATCCTTTCTGCAAGAGCTTAAATTTATTTTTGATTGTAATACAGGACAGAAAATAAACAGATAAAGCTTAAAATCGCTTACAAATTCTGTACATTTTTGTACTAAATTCACTAATGATTTACATACTATTTGTACATCCTTTCTGCAAGAGCTAGAAACATAGAATGCCTATAATGTCGAGGGAAAATGGGCATTCATACATAAAGATGTCATGCTTAAAGCATCATTACCTATCCAGAGCACGTTTCACCCAGGCTTTGACAGCAGAATTATGGAATCATTGCTGAGGAATTCCTGCAATTTTCGCAACCATTTCTACCGCGTATAAAACTCCTGTGTCTGCACTAAAAAGATCACTCCCAAGCGACAAACGATAGCAGGATTGGATGCATGGTGAATTTACCCACCCTATTTCATACTCATCAGATGACAAGTCCAATTTCTGTACAATATCGTCTTAGTCATCTTTGATATTTCACACGAAATCAACTCATTCGTTTATAGTACGTTTCTACAGTGGCGTTTTGGTGTAAAATCTAAACGAAACAGTTCGTTATAGTTTGTACTGTGCTACACGAAAGAAGCATAACATAAAAATATGAAATTTTGGTATAATTATGGATTTTGGCATGTTCACATCTGTCTAAGACGAATAGTCGCCGGGAGGGTCATTAGTGAGAAAAGTGCGTCCCCCGAGAGAACAGGTTTGATATGGGCGGAAAAAGGGAATATTTTATTACACCGGGACGATTCATTAATAATCACAGAGAGGGTGTGTATGAAAAATATTCTTCGTTATTTTAGTCACTAGTTTCTGCAATTATGTGTTCTTGTGCAGATTTCATATTTTCTTTGAGGTTTCTTTCTCAAGTTATTTTTGCTATGACAATATGACACATTTTCGTTATTTCGTCTACCCTCCCCCGAAATCATAAGTGATTCTCCCCTGTCGGTTTTATTGCCCCATAGAAACGCACACGTACCATGTGGTTACTCCAGACATGACGTAGCCACGATGTGACAAGAATCTATAAAACCGAAGAAGAAGAAGAAAAATATAGCCTGGGTGCCAGACTGTTGCTAGGGCCAGTATACAGGCTAGCTCCTCGGCTCCAGGGCCAACCTGTCCCCAAGGAAATTTTACCACAGACCCCCTCGGTTCGAGAGATAAATAAGACCGTGGGAGCCAACTCAGGGAGCGGGGCTTGTGGCTTCCCTCGACCGAACGAATGGAGTATCGTGTCGCGTCGGGGCCTGGCATCCAGGCTAAGCAGATTAAAAAAACGGTCACCGGCTTTCGGGTGAGTACTAGTAGTCCATTATGCAAATGAGCTGTCATGGCGGACAACCGTCACCGGGTGACATAACGCGATTACTGTCACAATTTTGATTGAGCGACGCTTTTTCTTCGTTCTTAATCTACGGACCGGTCGGGGGTCGCAGGTGATCGATGCTAAGAGCTCAAACCTTCATAGATTAGAACAAAAGAAGATATCTGTGAGATAGAATCGCCCAGTAACATTATAGTCTGCGACCGCCGAGCATCCAAACATTAGACAGACCGCTCAACGAATTTAAAACTAAAGAACTTTTTTTTTCGTTTTTATGTCCTGTTGTCTTAAATCATGATTTTGTATCGTACATGCTGTTACAATTTCAATAAAATAAAATAAAGCGTGTATTATATTCTAATCTTAAAAACAAGCTTGAGGGCTAACGGAAAACCAATTTTGTTCTCTAAGGGGGGCCTATTCCACATGATGAGCAAAACCACCATAAAAATACGATAAATTTCAGATAAGATAGTTAAGGTTTAATAAATCACACGAATGCGATGCATTGAAACTTGTCTCTGGTGGGATCGCTGTTGGAAGTCTCTAAGCTTATATCACGGAAGAAGCTGCATTATGTGATAAGGCCATGTTGATTTGATTATATGGATGACATCCGCGCGCGCATGAATTTTCGGCCGTTTCAAAAAAAAAAGTTTCAACCATACTGTAAATCGTACAAAACAGTTGCAAAATGAGCAAAAATATACCGTAAGTTACAAAAAAACCATACGAATGTCGTAGAATGCCAAAATCAAACGAAAAAAGACGAAATTGTAAAGAAATGAACTTGAAGACTGGGTTATTCGCCATATTTTCTGTCCTCATGACCACGTAGATTTCATAATGAAAACAACTTTTTTTTTTGCAAAACTTTTTTTTTTATTCGCACGCGCGCATCAGTTTTGGGGTTCCCGGAGGATGTCATCCATATAATCAAATCAACATGGCCTAACTGGTTATCAGTATTAGAACGTCGCAGCCCTTTCGATAAGGGTAAACGTATTGAAGGCGGAAGGGAGATATGATATAGAGAAAATCAGAGATAGAGATGTGTGAGAGGAAGAAAAATAGGAAAGGAAGAACCAGAAAGAGAGATTAAAAAATAAAATGATAAAAAATTATAGGTGATTTTCTCCTAGGTAATGTCCCCTTATGACCTAGCGAGGGCGTTGTTCTAGAAAAATACAGCGAGCAACACCTTTTATGACCTGTGTACGTGATCAGATTCTACCCTTTTAAGTTTTATTGCTCCAATATCTTTGGTCTTGTGGTGCTCTTTCGGCCTCTTTTGTATGTTGTTTTATCTAGTCAATGTCCTCATATGACATTACAAGGGCGTTCTCCGTGGTATAAAAGACAATGAGCATTACCTGGGATAACCTGTGGCCAGATCTTTACGATTCTATTGTTCCAATGCCTCTGGAAGTGTGGTGGGTTCTTTAACGCGTTTGTTATTTTCATACACGGATTGACGTAGCTATCTTCAAGCGCCGAAACGACAGTTCTTAGAACTTTCGCCTAGGACTGCATCCAAAACTTCATACCAGATCACAGCGTAATATCCAAAGCCTTTGGCTCCAAAACCAGGTTGCTAACCGGTAGACCAATAATGTTTTTATAAAGTTGCCCCCCTCCCCATCCAGTGAACTGAAAAGCATTGAACGCCTGCAAGAATTGTATAAAAGGCATACGCATGCGTACACAAGGGTACCTGTCACTGTATAGACCACACTGCCGGATGATATCTGCATTTTTAATCAAGGCAGACGACAGAAGAATGATTTGATGGGCATGAAGGACTCTTCTATTATTCCTGCTTTCTGGTACGGAACGGTTGAATTTTTGCTGTAGAAGCAACAAAACTTAATTGGTTTTCCCCAAGGTTTGCAATTAAATGCAAGCAATCTTCCTGCTGATTATTGTTCCGTGTCAACCAACCATAAAGTTCTGCATTTTTCATC